TCTTAATCTCAGTTTTTCCACTCCACATCTTAATACATTCTCTAAGGAATTCCTAACTGGATCCCACATACGCTTAATTATTATAACATTTTTTTATTTTCTCTATATCTATATAGGGAAACCTATGTAAGTCACACTATATAACATGCTTGCACAGAAGGTTTGCAAATGAATATTATAGATACGTTTTGGAGGTCAGATACTACTAACAGTGCTGTGGACTTTGAAGAGGCATGAATAGAGGGTGAAAGAGAGAAATGTGTCAAGATGAAGAAGGAACCTCAAGCAAACCCTTTTCGCAACCATCTTCCATCTGGAAATCTATGTCCTCAATGTGAAAGACTATGTACATCCAGAATAGGTTCTACAGTCATTTACAGACCCGCAAAGAGTACCCTTGAAAGACAATCATAGTTGGCCACAAGTGATCACCTATAGTATTGAAACATTATATATTGCTTACATTTTCATGCCATACATCATCCAAAAATTGCACAAATTTACAACCCTATATTTATACAATTCTTCAAGTTAGATAACATACCATTTATTGGTGGCAAACATATAAAAAGTAGAATGACAATGCAGAGTACAATATAGGCACTAAAGGCATTAGATAAATCCCTGGTATAAGCTGGAGTTCAGCCTTCAGATTCAATAGGGTGTTTGTGGACAAACCATTCTCTTAGCCTTCGCCCTGCCTATCTTTAAAATGAGGATGACATCAGCCTATCTTCCAGAGATACATTGTGCATGCACACAACACTTTCAGTGTAAACAAATTCTATGAAAAACTATTATTATATATTTTGCTATGATATCAACATATTTTGGTATGATATCAACGCCGACTCTTCAGCTTAGAAACGGAGCTGAGCACCACCCCCAGAGTCGAACACAACTAGACTTAATGCCAAGGGGAAATTTTTACCTTTACCATTATCAACATAGGAAAAGAGCCATGTCAAAGTTTATAGGATTTCTTCCATGAAGTATTTTGACAAAAGTACCCCCAACACTTGAGAAACAAAAATCGTGTGAGTACAAGGGAGCTTTATACTTATTCTTTCCACTGTCGTTTAAGGTCTGTGAGATTCATAACCAGATTATCTTGTATGTGCCTTACTTAACAAAGACCCTCAACCTTTCCTAGAGATAGAAATGCAAACAGTCCCTCTCCTGCCTTTCTATCAGTCTCAAAATGATCTCAAAGCTTTCAAACTTGTCACAAATCAGTAATCTTCACTGGGCACTTGTCTCTCATAATCTCTGTTGCTTCTGCATGATGCCAATCTCCAAGGAATGGAACTGAGCACATCACATCATTGACTTTTTTTAGCCTAGAGTGAGACCATGTCCCTCAGCTGGGCTGCCCACAGATAATAGAAGAGCCCATTATCACACAGACTTTGAAATACAAAATACGACAGTTTCATGCCCTTCATGAATATCACCAAGAGTTCCATGAAGAAAGACTTGTGGAATAATAATGAAGACAGCCCTGCTCCTGAAAAGGAAAATACCCATCAAGGAACAGAGAGAACTCATGTAGATTCAAAAGTTTCAAGATGTGGAATCCAAGGGGATAAAGTCTTACAAGACATAAGAATTGTCTTTCCCAGCTGTGTATCATTTCAACAAACAAGGAGGAACGTTATTGCTTTTTTAGTAGGATTACTATTGAAATCCATCATTAAAATAGGTTCAACATCATGGAAGTCTGGATTAAAACTACATGGGCATTCATTGCCCTACTAACATCAGAGACACCAACGGCTACTAACGGGAATGTTATAGATGATGCTGTGTTTCCAACAGCCGCAAAGAAAAGGCCAAAATGACAACAGCCAGTGATACATTATCATTATTCTTGGAAAAGACAAGTATACAGAAACATACATTTCTTCAATACACAATACCTGGTCATCCAGATGAGACTCCTACTTTCCATAGATGGCCATATAAGATGTGCAGAAGCCTGTATAAAATCCTTAGGTAATGACCCATACACAGAATAGACACATGCTTAAAGTCAAGAAGAAACAGCTAATGTCTTCCTTAACCTCAACTCATGCTTCCATATAGAGAGCCCATTCCACACTTTGGTTCTTGTCCTCCCTCAATATTAAATAGCGGAAAGGAGAATGATAGGGAAATCTTCTCTCAGTGAATTTTAACTCCTCCAACAAACTTGCTAGCTACATTCAGTGGTGGTCAATGAACAGAGACTATATGTTCCATTAATGTCTTTTGCTGGTGCATTTTTCTCCCAAAGTAACCTTTGTTGGAGGCAAGAAAGTCAAAGGGGGATTTAACCACTGCTGCAAGCAACACATAGCAAAACCAAATTTTAATGATGCCACCAAGACAGATTATCCCCTTAAACAAAAAATAACTGACTCGCACCTTCTTCAATGGGGGTTCTGAAGGCCTGTTGGTTCAATTGGCTATTGGTCTCAGTGCCCAATACATGCTTGAAAATTCCAGAACAAAATGGGACATTGAGAAAACCTTAAAAGAGACAAGTACACCAACTGAAAGCACCTCACAGGACAGGTGTTAAGAAAAATAGGAACCATCTTTGACAAGACAACTTGCTAACAGCCTTGACCGCCTGATGCACAACAAATGTATGTTTTTCAACTTGCAACATCAACAACCCATTTGTTCTGCTCAGAAAATTCCAACTATTTCAGATTTCAAGCCAAAACACACAAAAACACAAGGGAAAAAATATAACGCTGTAGGTTTTAATCTGGATATGTACAAATGTTTTAGGAGAACCTTGAGCATAATAAAAGCTTTTAACACTGCACCAAACTGTAAAGCAATTAGAGAGCTTTATGATGGCAACAGGGCCGGCTGACAAACAGTAAACAGTGAACACCATACTGATAGTTAAAAGCCAAACTAGTCATTCTTGACTTATATGAATTGGAGATAGTTAACTAATGTGAATACAGGTCTCAGTTTATGCCTGGGCTGCATCCCTAAATTTGTGATGTAAACTGTGAATGATCGACAGGGGAGGTGGGGAAACAATTGCTTGCAACAGAGACGGAGTAGCCACCAAGTTAGCAATTCTACTCAACCCACCATCAATTTCAATGGGGTTTGAGGCATCAAACATCAGCAATCACCTTTTCTCGGTAAGAGAAGTGTGTAGATGTTCTTCCAAGGGACCAGAAGAGGCAGTAAGTGCCAGTCCCAAGGGGGCTTAACTGAAGGGAGCTGGCTTGCCATTAGATGTTTTGTCTTGAGAGGAGCACACAGCTGGAGAGCAACTGGTAAGGAATGTGTTCTGCTGTGTCTCCTTCTCCAGTAGGTTTCACAGGCAGAGAAAGCACTCCAAAGACTAAGGTAGCACACCTTCCCTACTTCCCCAACCTTAGCAGTGACAAGAAACCTAGGTCAGTCAGGTTTTCTTACTCAGATTCGCCTCCCTCATTCCTTCATATCTTTCCCACTGCATAGGTATGCTGGGATTGCTATCCATTATGAGTGAGACTTCACTGGTGGATTTATTTCTGGAGAAGAAAATCTGAAAGGTTGGAAACATGTACAGTGTAAATTGAGACACACATGTACAAATGCTAACCAAAGTTTGTGTTAAAAACAACACATTAGAAGGAATAAAATGACAAAGAAATGTGACTGGTTTTGTTTACCAGAAAGTCATCAACTCGGATTTTCCTGTCACATCATGAACAAGAAAAGTCACCCAGAATCCCCTTGCTTTGACACAGTCCCTTTGAAAATATTAAATTTCCTACTCTGCATAACTTTCACCCTCAGACAAACCCAAGCAGTGTATTTATCACACAAAATATCATTTGCAGTCAGTCAAAACAGCGACGTTTTCTTGCCAACTGATTAAAGCCCAGACAAATATAGAAGTACAGTCAACCAAATCAAATTGCATCATCAATAAACCAGGGATGAAAAACTTCTTCAATTACTGCAAAGCAGGGTTTTTTTAAACCAAAATTAATTCTGATAGCATTTCCCTACATCTCCCACAGCTTTTGCCTATGCGATTTCTCCTACAACACCTTATTTCATATCAGACCGTAACCATTTGTTTTGCCATTACAAAATAACATTTTGACAGTGCAGAACACAGAACAAGAGCATTTCGTATTTATATTTGTATAAGTGTTTCTCAACACCTGTGTGCACATTTTTAGCCATTCAGCCCACACAAATACAGATGAACAGCCCACCCAATCAAATCGAATCAAATCAACAAACCAGGGATAAGAAACTTATTTGATGGCTGCAGATCAGTTTTTTTAAAAAAAAAAATACCAATGAATTTTGATAACCTGATATCCCTGCTGTTTCTGCCTATAACACGACTATATTCTACAAGCGCCTCCTTTCATGTCAAAACCACAACCATTTGTTATATCTATCTTCCATTGCAAAATAACATTTCAACACTGCAATACGCAAAACACAGAACAAGGACATTTCATCTTTTTTCTAGTTCTGGGCAATTGTGTGCACAATTTGAAAACACAGACCAAGAATGCTTCACGCCTTGATGACTGTGTGCTCGATTTCGACAAAACACAGATTTTAGCCGTTCAGCACATCCATCCAATGAATGGCCTCCTTCCTCACATGCAGTCCTTTATCAAATACAACCCTCATGCAAAATAGAGGGGGAGAGAGAGGACAGGACTTCAAGAGCAAATGGGAAGTTTTCCTTCTCTTCTTCACTTTTCCCTGAAGGCTCCTCCACTCCAGGAACATGTCAGGCATAACTAAGGAGACCATCCTGGGAGCAACACATAGCTTGGGATGAAAGGATGGTGCAGAAGCAGTCAGAAGCCAAAAACCCTGAGCAAGTGCAAAGGGGAAATGGGTCTGAGGGATGCAGCTGCTGGGGGAGAAGTTCCTTGCTGCTGAAACCTCCAAGGCAGAGAGAGGTCCTCCTTGAGAAGACCCCCTCTTTCCCTCCCTCTCAGCCCTGTCAAGCCAGGCAGCTCTCTTACCTCTAATGCTTCCATCGTGCTGAAGCTGGCGATAGCAAAGCCATCAATGAAATCCTCTTCCTGGGAGCTGGACTCTCGCCTCCGCCGCCGGGGGGGTCGCAAGGCCCTGGCCCCCGGCGCCTGGCTTTTGGGCTGGGCGCCGTTCTGGCCGGCGTTCTCCTTGCCCGGGCTGGCCTCCCTCTCCGAGGCCGAGGAGGGGCTCTGGAGGTTGGCTTGGCCCCGGCCGCTGGAGTCCCTCCGCCTTACCCGGTCCCTTTGGGAACGGGACTTCCGGCTCTGTCGGATTTTGCCCTCCATCATCCCCAAAAAGCGCTCTTCTCAGCGACGGCAATTAATCCTCCAGGATGGACTGATTGATTGATTGCGCTGGAAATAACAGCAGCAGCAACAACAACAAAAAAGCACGCCTTCCTGCTAATCCAGCCTTGTTTCCTCTCTTACCAAAAAATAAAAAATCCCAAAAAAAAGGGGGGGGGGTTATAATCCGGACAGAAAGTGATGACCCGACGTGCAAACAGAGCAGCAGGAAGACGACGCGCGAGGGGAGAGAGGGAGGAGGAGGAGGAGGAGGAGGAGGAAGGGGGGCGGCGGCAAAGAGATCCAGAAGAGCGGTGTTAAATCCACGGAGTGACCTTGACAAGTCTCCGTCTCCCCCTCGCCAAAATTTTTAAAAAGGTGAAAAAATATATCTATTTAAAAAGATGGGAAGACTGAAAGCATGGCGAAATTCCTCCGGAGTTCGGGTGGAGTGGGGAGGAGGAAGGAGGAGAAGGAGCTTGGGTTTCCCTAGACGGAGAATGGCCCGGAGAGACAGATCCGAGAGGGAAGCCCTCAAGGCAGGAGCAGCACCGACGGGAAGATGAAGAAGCCCAAGAGGCAGCAGTGGCGGCGGCGGCGGCGGCGGCTCCTCGTCCTCCTGCCCACTAGCCCTCCTCTTCCTCTTCTGCCCCGCTCCTGCCTGCCTGCCCGCCCCCTCCCTCCCCTCCCCTCCCCTCCCTCCCTCAGCGGCGCCTCGCCGTGGGTTCGAATCCAGCCGCGGGAGGAGGCTCCAAAGGGCAACTTTATTGCGCGGAGGGCGCGCGCTCTTGGCCTCCCCCCTCCCTTCTCCTGCTGAGGCGGCTGCTGCTCCTGCCGGGCCCCGGCGGCTCTCTGGCTCTCCCCTCCCTCCCCACCGCGCCCCCCGCCCGCCCGCCCGGCTCCCCCGCCCTCGCCTCAGAGCTGCGCCCCTTTCTCTCGCTCTCTCAGCCGGCCCCCCTCCGCTCCCGCCGCCGTCGCCGCCGCCGCCTCATGCTCGCCAGCCCGGCCCCCCCCTCTCTCCTTTCCTTCCTTCCTTCCTTCAAGCTGGCAACTCACACAGCACCGCCCGCCCCGGCCGCGCATGAGCAGGGCGGGCGGCGGCGGCGACGCGTCATTCCTCCGGGCGCGCGCGCAACGCCCTCGCTCTTCCTCCACTCCCCCCCTCCATCCCCCGCCTTGGTTTCGCCCGCTCATGCGCCCCCCTCCCCCTTCTCAGCGGGACTGTGCCATGTCCTTAAATCGGGAGGGTGGGGGAGAGGTCAAGCAGGTCTGTGCTCTCCTCCCCCTAGAGGGCAAGACACTGAGGAGGGAAGGTGAGTCAAGGCGCGCGCGCACAAGAGAGACACACCACTGTCCGCGGTGGGATTCGGCTCAGCTTCGTCCACCCCTGAGGGAGGGAGGGAGGGAGGGAGGGGAGGAGGGCCTACACCAGGCATGGGCAAACTTGGGCCCTCCAGGTGTTTTGGACGTCCACTCCCACCATTCCTAACATCCTTTCCCTCCTCAGCCGCTTAAAGGAAAGGGCCCGAGGCTTGTTAGGAATGGTGGGAGTGGAAGTCCAAAACACCTGGAGGCAGGGAGGGCCCGAGTTAACCCATGCCTGGCCGAAACAGACCGGAGGGAAAGGGCCCAGGGGCCCAGGGGCGGGCTGGCTCGCTCTCTATTCTGTGCCGCTTGAGTGTCGCATATTGGAGCCTCGCAGGGTTCAGCATGCCCGCTTGGCCTCCTTGAAGTCTTAATTCCTTAAGTCCGTGTTTCTCAACCTTCCTAATGCCACGACCCCTTAATACAGTTCCTTATGTTGTGGTGACCCCCAACCATAACATTATTTTCATTGCTACTCCATAACAGTAAATTTGCTACTGTTATGAACTGTAATGTGAATATCTGATATGCAGGATGTATTTTCATTCACTGGACCAAATTTGGCACAAATACCCAATACGCCCAAATTTGAATACTAGTGAGGTTGGGAGGGATTGATTTTGTCATTTGGGAGTTGTAGTTGCTGGGATTTATAGTTAACCTACAAATCAAAGAGCATTCTGAACTCCACCAATAATGGAATTGAACCAATCTTAGCACACAGAACTCCCATGACCAACAGAAAATACCAAAAGGGTTTAGTGGACACTGGCCTTGAGTTTTGGAGTTGTTCACCTACATCCAGAGACCACTGTGGATTCAAACAATAATGGATCTGGACCAAACTTGACACAAATACTCAAAATGCCCAAATGTGAACATTGGTGGAGTTTGGGGGAAAATAGACCTTGACATTTGGGAGGTGTAGTTGCTGGGATTTACAGTTCACCTACAATCAAGGAGCATTCTGAACCCCACTAATGATAGAATTGGGTCAAACTTCCTACACAGAACCTCCACAACTAACAGAAAATACTGTGTTTTCTGATAGTCTTTGACAACCCCTCTGACATCCCCTTGCGACACCCCCAGGGGTCCCAACCCCCAGGTTGAGAAACACTGCCTTAAGTAGAAAGAGAAATTATTCAGTCACCCCACCCCCTATCAAAAAGGGAGCTATTCAATACAGCTAGACCAGGGCTGTCCAACTCATTTCCATGCTGTACGGGACCCTTTGTGGGAGCAAAGCAGCATACAAATAAAGATTAATTATTATTACTATTGCCTTCAAAAGGCCACTGAATCCATGGAAGGAGACTCCGTGGAGACTAATTTTTGGGGCGCATAGTGATCTCTATTCTTGAGCTTTTCCCAAATTGGGACCCCTAGATGCCGTCGAAGGACAACGGCCACCACTTTTTGATTATATGGGAATCATGGGGATTGCAACCCAGCAGACCTTGTGGAAAGGTTAAAGGGCATTGGAAAGCCAGACGTCCTCCCCGTAAACCTTGTCTCCAAATTCGAACCACACTCTCCTGACTCAACAGAACAAACTGTAGCCTTCCAGACATTACTGTATCCCAACTCCCATCAGCTCCAGTTCTGAGGTCTAATGATGAGGAATGTTGGGAGTTAGAGTCCAGCCACGGGGGGGGGGGGGGGGAAATGACATGGCAGGGTGGATTTGGCCCATTGCCTTGAGTTTGACACAGAACGAAACATGGAGAAGCCCCATTGCAAAGAGCGAGAACCCAGTGTGCTCTTTAGGTTGCATTCCTTCAGTCAAGAGAGAGTTCAATCAAGCACCCCCTCATTTATCACAATGGGAGGTGTTGGTGTAGCTAGGTGATGTGGGTGCCACTGACCAGCCCCCAGTAAATCACAAAGCCTTGGAATGACTTTTGAGGAAGGTGGGAAGTAAGAAGGAAGGGGAAATGAACAGACTGCAGTGGAATGTTAAGAAGGCAACATGAAGAGCAGATCATTCGGGCCCCTTTATCATGGACAAAGAAGACCTCAAAATCCTCAAGGACTTTTATCTACCATGGCACCTTCCTAGAGTAAATGAAAACTGTTGTCAAGAAATTGGAAAACTAGGATTAGAAAGCGTGGTTAGGTGTGATCCTTAAGCATCAAGAGATTAAATGCCAAACTCAGGATGGTCCATACCACAGTCTTGTTTCTATGAATCAGCACTGAAGGAAGCTGTCGTTTCTTCTTTATTTCTTCCATTCTAAGACACACTTATTTTCTCTTTCAAACGTCTCTAGAATCACAGGCGTTTTCATATAAAAAATGGAGGGTTTTTTTCTGTTGGTGGTACTAAAATTAGTGAGCATCTTACAATCGATGGTGTTTAAAAATTTAAAAAAACCTACAATTTGCAATATGGAGCGCTCTCGGCTGTCCGTCTCATCCTCCTCCCAACATAATGCTGAGAGGACAGCCCAAAGATCAGGGGGAGGGGTTGATGAGAGGACCGGGGCAGTCACTGTATGTCTCGTTTTCCTCCTGGCATAAGGATGGGGCGAGCAGCCAGGAGGACAACCTAGGGATGACCCGGTCCCTCCCAGGCCTCCTCCCAGCTCCACTCTCTCATAGGCCCTGTCCCTCCCAGGCCTGTCTCACCCAACACATGCCCGTCTGCCCTCCCTCCTGGCCCGGCCCTCTTGGTCGGGTCCACAATGTGACCCCAAGACAAAAAAGTTTGCCCATACCTGCTCTATAAGCTAGCTGGCATTGCCCCCCCCCCCCCAATGTGCGACAGGAAGTTGAACACTGTGAAAGTCACCTACTGTATGTCTATCAGCCTTCTCCCAGTAGTCTTAAATCAAGAAAAAGTTCCATGAGAACCACCACTCTTCTTAATGTTCCTCCAGCAACAGCAAGGATATCCTTGTGAGCAGTAAAATCAGGCAATTCCAACTGGATGGGCCTCCGGGGGCAAACCTAAAATGAGCAACTTGGAAGCCCGTGAACAGACTTAGGAGTGGTGTTGGGAGATCAAAATGGCCTACCTAGAAGAATCCTAGCAAAATGGCCCTACCTAGAAGAATCCTCTACCTTGTGCGACTGTGGAGCAGAACAAACAACTCCACATCTGAATGCTTGCCCACAATGCCCTGCCTCATGGACAGAGGAAGAACTGTTTAAAGCTACAGACAATCCAGTCACTGTTGCCTGTTTTTGGTCTAAAACTATTTGGCTGCATGTGATCCCTTTTACACTTATGCATTGCTTTTGACACAAAATAAATAAAGCCTCATATAGCTGATAAGAGGATAAGGAGGAAAAACCATGTGCTTTATTATTTATTTATTTACCATATTTGTATCCTGCCTTTTTCACCCTGAAGGGGACTCAGGGCGGTCTTACAACAGGCAGCAATTCGATGCCATAACACATATATCAAATAACAGTTACAGTTTGAGTGAGGTAAGAGAGGAGATGGGTATAGAGAAACCTAACATATCAAAAGTGGTATCCCAGAGGTGATCTGTTTCCCTATTTTCCTTCATTACAATACAGTCAAGAGATGAGGATTATTGCATCTTCTCATAGTCACTTCTGCACATTTATAGAGAGAAGTGTGGGCATTTGAGAGGCATCAAAAAGATGTTTTAGAATGTTTAAATTCTTTTACAGTCTTAAGTTTTGAATTATTTGAACAGACTTTAGTGGAATTGTCACAGCGATCTTACGATATGGAGTTGCATATCAACATTTCACTATGGCTTAGGGAAGAGGTGTGACCTTTCATACTATCACAGTATGTTCTTTCAATTTCCTTGGGGGGCGGGGATCCATACACAGAAATCATCCTTATGATCTGCCATGGGAAAGTATCCACAAAGAAAGTGCATTGATGATTAGGCACACTTAGTCTTTGGCAAACTCATAAAAAAGAGAAAAATTAGGAGAGCAGATACTGTTTCACCTATAACATACTGTGTTTCTTCAATTCTAAGACAAACGTTTTCCCAATACAGGCAGTCCCCAAGTTAGAAACAAGATAGGTTCTGTTCCCAGCCCCTTTTTGAAGATGTCCAGAGACCCTGCAACTTCTTTAGGCAATTGATTCCATTGCCAAATCACTCTTACCATCAAAAGCAATGGTTCTCAACCTGTGGGTCTCCGGGTGTTTAATATTCTTTTTTCTAGTACAATAAACTATAAAGTTTGTACAGTATAAAATAACAACAGAAATCCCATCCAGTTTACCAGCTGATAGGATTTCTGGGAGTTGAAGGCCAAAACATCTGGGGATCCACAGGTTGAGAACCAATGATCAAGAGGTTCCTTCTAATGTTCAAGCAAAATCTACCTTCCTGTAAGTTTAAATCATTAGATCTAGTTCTGCTTTCTGGGGCAGCATAAAACAAGCCTGCACCCTCCTCTTTGTGGCACCCCTTGAGGTAAAGATGCAATCATGTCACCCTTCTTCTCTTCACCAAACCAAATTTATTCAACTCATTCAACCCCTCTTCTCCTGTTTTGTTATTCATACTCATTTTATCATCCTCATTGCCCTTGTCTGAATTTACTCCAACTTCTCTATCTCTTTAAAATGAAGCACACAGAACTGGACATAGTACTACGGATGACAGGTGACTGCTGCAGAATATAAAGGGGCTATTCGTATCCTTGACTTAGAAACTTTGCTTCTAATTCAGGCTAAAATAGCATTAGCCTTCTTAGCTGCACCACTGACTTATATTCAATTTAAGATCAACAATAATCTCAAACTACTTTTCACATGTAGTAATATGCAGTCAAGTATTCCCAATCCTATACCTATGCATTTCGTTGTTGAGTCCTAAATGTAGAATTTTGCATTTGTCTCTATTGCATTTCATGTTAATAATTTCAGCCTAATGTTCTAGCCTGTTTTGAATTCTCTTTTGAATTTGTATCTTCCATTGTGCTAGTTATTCATCTGCAATTTTTATAAGGATTCCCTCTACCCTATTATCTAAATCATTCATAAAAATATTGAAGAGTGCCAGTCCACGGACAGAATCCTACAGCACTCTGCAGGAGATCTCTTATGAGTTTGAAGAACAGACACTGATGACAGCTCTTTGAGTACAGTTTTCCAATCAATTGTGGAGCTATCTGATGATGCTTCTATCTATTCCATATTCAGCCAGTTTTCTAATGTTAGCAAATGTTTTGTTAAAATCTAGATAAATGACATCTACAGCATTCCCATCATTTTTAATACTATATATATATATGGTCCTTGTTTTATCGATGTATTGTAATAATATTGAACTCTGCCTCGAGCAATGAGGAGAGGTGGGTAACAAATAAATGTTATCATTTTTTTTAAAGAAATAGGCTAAGTTTGGTAGGTGTTCACAATAATTACCACTAATAGTTGCTATTGATGGCATTAAAAATGCAGGATACCCATTGTCCACACTCTGTACATGTTGTGGCAATGACCTTAGTCAAGGATAAAATGAGTGACGTGGTACAGGGTGGTATCTAGACAAAAGGAAGAAATAAGAGAGAAGAAAGCTCTCTGATAGCCTGCTTTTCTGTTTTTTTCTCTCCCCCCCCCCTTGTCCATTTAAATGAAATGCCTATTTCTTTCAAATAACTACAGTATTCAAGAAACAAAATGTCTAGTTCTTCCAAGAAAAGGTTCATATATTAAAGGACTTGTATATTTGTTATCTTACAAGAGTTATGAATAACAGTTTATTAAGATTTAGCATGTTAGAATGTTGAGAGCACCCTGCATTAGTCCACATTTCTTAGGACCATTCATCTAAGATAAATTACCATATATTCTGGTGTATAAGACTACTTTTTAACCCAAGAAAATCTTCTCAAAAGTCAGGGGTCGTCTTATACGCGGGAGTAGTCTTATACATGGGAGTCGTCTTATACACAGGAGTCGTCTTATAGAGCGGGTGCTGAAACTTCCAATCCAGATTGGAGAATCTGGTTGACGCATATGGTGGGGGAAGCTCAAAAATGGCAGTGGCCGCGTCCCTGCTGTATGTAGCGACTGTATGAAAGCATTAAGGGCAACGTTGTACAAGTACGGTAGAAGAAAATCCATTCATCAGGATTCGTGGACTTAATGCGGTCCTGATGGTGAGGTGAAGGGGCGCCTCACCGGCTGTAAGTGAAGGGCAGAGCAAGCTGCAGGCTTCCGGGGCGCCTGGGGTATGGAAAAAAGAGATAGAGTGGCTTTGGGCCCAGACAAGCACACCTCTTTTACCTGTCTGGCCCGCTCTTGTATCCTATTACCTTACCTCCTCCTCTGCCTCTCAGATCTCGCTCCTGAAGACTGCAGTGAAGTGGTGCAGGTGCGCATGTGCGAGATCTGAGAGGCAGAGAAGGAGGTACAGTAATAGGAAAATTACCATATTGAAATCAGATTTGATGCTTTTAAAATGTTTATTTGGTGTGCGTTGGAAGAGGGGTAGTCTTATATGGTGAATATATCCCAAACTCTCTATTTTAACTGGAAAAGTTGGGGGTCGTCTTATACGCCCAGTCGTCTTATATGCCGGAATATATGGGTAATTGAGTTTATTATCCTTAAATAGCAGACTATGCACCCTGTCTTGCTTTCTAGAAAGGCTGGAGGGGGTTCTGTGCTTTTTGACCAAATAGGTGCAATTTTTGTGAGGGCATTTGTCCCTTACCAAATTATCTGTTGAATTAGAGATTGCCTATCTGCCACCTTATTTATGTGTAAATATGGCTTATTTGAGACCATTTTGTCTTGTATCTTTTTTTAAATAGAATATTGAGGTCTCTGCTGTGTAGTGATGTTTAAAGTGTTTAATATCACAAATTTTTAAAAACCCAACAAATTACAAATCTAAATCCGCATCATTGTCTGAAAGCAATTTACAACATTTGAAGATCTTGATATAGAATAAAGTTTATCACCAGAAGACTTGATAAAAGAAGGATATTTGAACTTCATCTGATGAATCCACTGCAGAAATCTCTGTGAGATATCAGTAGAGCAGTACTAATATCTTCCTTATGATTAATGAAAGGGAATACTCTCTTTAAAAATATCATTGCCTTTATCCACTTGCATGCTTCATTGGATATGTCATTTTTCTAATAAGGTTGAGGAATGACGGATCTGACGAAAGGGACCATATTGAAAATAAGATGTAGTCCTCAAGGTCATCTCACTAGGGCTGTTGAAACGGAGAAAGGCGTCAAGCAGGGATGCACTTTGGCTCCACTACTATTCAACTTTTATATTTATTCCATGGTGGAGCACCTTTACAACTTGGACTACCACCCTCCAAAACTGGCAGGAAGATACCTATCTACCCTGCTCTATGCAGACGATGCAGAACTCAAGTAGGACTGAAAAGAGCCTTGAGAGCCCTAACAAAATATTGTAATGCAGAACAGCTTCATCTTAATTTTCAAAAAACCAAATGTATGGTGTTTACAAAACAACCCAAGTATCACACCTGGAGACTAGACGGACACAATATTGAACAGGTCTCAAGCTTTAAATACCTGGGAGTATTTTATCACTGCACTGGAAACAAGAAAGTACATTCTGATTATGTAGCAGAGACAGCACAAAAGAGCTCATACGCTATCCTAAAGTTTCTCAAAACGGGAGCAGGCCACTTCATACCAGCAGCACTTAAGCTCTTCGAGGCAAAATCCATAGCACAAATGATGTATGGAGCCCAACTCGGCCCCTTTTCAAACTATGCCCCTATGGAGCAGGTACAATCAAAATTCCCAAGATCGTCGATGCAGGTCCCCAGATGTGTGTCAAACGCCACCCTGCGACTACAGACAGGCCTCGTGAGAGTGGAGGCAAGAGTGTGGACAGCTACCCTCAATTATTGGCTGCATCTGTCTTTCTCAACATGTGGCCTTGCCCCATTAACTCTGAGAGACAAATTTCAGTCTACATGGAATAAGGTAGTGGCAGCAAAAATCGCAACTCTAGGCCTCTCTCAAGGACAACTGCTAGGTATGGGATGGGACCAAGCTAAGGATCTTATTAGACAATGGATCCTGGATATAGAGCGACAATCAGACTTAACCTGCTCTCCAGCATTCAACATTAGCGAAGATAACAGATATCTCATCGCTACCATGGCTTACTTAGCAAACCTGGAGGTGCCTAAACACCGAAGAGCTTTCACTTTGGCAAGATGCCATGCGCTTCCATCGGCAGTATTGGAGGGGAGGTCCCGGAAGACCCCTGCCCAGGAGAGACTATGCCCGTGTGAGTCTGGCTACACTGAAACAACTGAACATGTACTCCTCCAATGTGTATTCTATAGAGGCATTAGAGCTAATCTCATCACTCCATGGCTTTTAAAACATCCAGGGCGCACTGAAAGATATTACACCTTCCTGCTGCTCTCGGACTCCTGCTCTGCTATAACCCATAGTGTTGCCAAGTTCTGTGCAGCAGCAATTAACATTAGACTGTTGATGACTGACTCCACTAGGCAACTTCCTGCCTGGAATATAGCTAGAGTGATTTGTAATAACTGAAATGTTGTAAATGCTCCCCTCTCATCCCTCTTTAGAGTCTCCCAGTGGTTTGATATTTCCTATTAGCTGCCCCCCTATTTTAGACTCATACATGCACTTTAAACTGTAAGTTTAGTCTGTTTTTTAATCTGTTTCTTTTATAACATGTTTTTAATCTGCTCTTTTACCTGACCTTCTTGGGAACTGCGATTCCCTTCCTTGGGTACCTGTGCCCCATTCTATACTGTGCTGGTCAAAGACCATAATAAATCATTGACTCATTGATTGATATTATGTATGTATGTATGTATATTATGCAATACTAGGTCCTTATCTTCCTTCTAGTTGTGGACAGCTGCCTTTCTGGCTGCCAGCAATAGGAAGCACATCAAGTCCTTGTGCACCAGACTTTCACTTGAATCTTAAAAAAAAATCAACAGAGCTGGACTTGGAACCAATATGATTGTTTAGTTTGTAATTCTCTCAGTGTCATTGTTCACATCTATCCAAAATCATTGTAACACTAGGCAAGACTGTTAAACTTGGGAATAAGTTCCCAGAAACCACAGCCTCTCCAACAAAGTAGATTTGTATTGTTCTTATTTTAGTCAATATCATGGTTGTTGGATGGTGATAGTAAATTATTTTAAAGAACTTCCCCTAACATGGGCCAAAACGGAACTTACAGCTTTGGCTAATCAAGCTTGATTCCATTCTTTATCTGCCAATATGTATCCTAGATCCCTTGTTCATGTTGATCTTAAACTTGTCAAACTGTTACATGTAACCCTAGTAGTTGGTCATATATAATAGATCAGATCCTATTCCTTTACATTTAGAATTATGCTCTAACCTCAGTGTCTCAAACTGTGTCTGTGCATTTGTAGCCTGCTGTATAACTGACTGATTTAAATGTAATAAATTGATGATGATGATACTGTCACACCTGGTAATTTTTTAAACAATACATCTTGTGTTCCCTTATCCGAAAATTCCAAAAAATTCCAAAAATGGATGTATCCATTGCCATCAGTCATCCACTTCTGTATTTGAGAAAAGGAACTAATCACATATCCTTCACCTACTGAGGTTTTTCCCCAAGGAGCTCTTCTCTTTCCCCTATCAGAACTTCTTAAGCAGACACTGAACACGTGACTAGCCCTCTTTCTCCCCTATTTCTTATTCAGTATGTAGATGCAAGTACAGGAATTCCAAAATCTGGGTAAAAAATCACTTTATGTGCTTTGGCTAGTAACATACAATGTATTTTTGAGTGAAGAATGCATAGGGAGCTACTGCTGCACTGGGCTTGAGATATGGCAGGAAAGTAATGAGACTGATTTTTATTTATTTTTTTGGCCATGGATTTTTTTCCTGTGTCCAAATCAAGGTTATACCCATCGAAGTAGTTCCCTTGGGCAGCTATACAGCGACAGAGGTGTTATTTCCATTGTTCATAGCAGTGCTGGAAGGCTTATCCTAGAATGCATTTCAGCTCATCGATTACACTTTTCTCGATATTATCCAAAGTACCAAAATGGCTCTCTTTCGGATGGTTTTTGGACTGAGGGAATAAAAAGAAGTCATGCAATCTGAGATCCGGCAAATTAAGGGGGGGGGGGGGGCACAGGAATTTTTTTTGCCAAAACTTCATTGATGGAGTCTACTGTGTGGCATGTGCCATTTGTGGTGGGGGGTCAGCATCCAAGTGTGTACAATGTGTTGTTACACACATGCCATCCTCTTCCTGGGTCTTCCAAGGACTTCCTGATAAAAAGTTTGATTGACACTTTGCCTTGGAGCCATAAATTCCTTGAAGATGTTCCCAACTGTCAAAAAACAAAAAACAAAAACAAATGAGCTTAAATTCAAATTTTGATTTGCTCATTCTCGATTTCTTGAAATGGGGAGAATTTTGCAATGTGCACTCCTAATTTCAGCATTTTGTCTCAGGGTCGTACTTGAAAATCCATGATTCATCATCTGTGATCACGTAACTGAAGAGTTCTGGCTCCCTCTCAAGACAGTTCAGAATATCAATATGCACACCCCTCTGATTGGCCTACTGCTCAGTTGTGAAGTTTTTTTAAACCATTTCCTTTTTGTTGTCCATTTTTAACATATCTCAGAAACACAACTTCATAACAGATGCTCTCAATTGTATAGCAACTGTAGCAAGTTCAGACTTGTACTGAATTTACCTAACTGCCAACTGAAGGGGAGGTAGCAGTGTTGTCAGTTCATGCACAGTGTTACCGATCTCATTGCTTTTCTGCCTCACCTCAGAAGATGCAGAAGAACACAGAAGCCAAATAGTACTCCACTCAAACCTAAACATAGCATAAGAAACAAATGTGGAAGGATTAGGAATAAGCTATAGCAGTAACCCACAAAATTGTTTTGACTCCTTGAGATTCCCTTGCTCATGCTTTTTCTGGCTTGAAAAATGGTAAATTCCTGCCCTTGGAAGCCTCCAAGAGTGAGAATTCATTCTTTAAATGAGTTACGGCTTTTTCTCTTTCTATCGCAGTCCAGGCAGCCAACTGCTAGCTCTTAGAGCAAATCAAGCCTGAACTCTCCCTAGAAGCCAAGATGACTAGACTGATACAGTTATACTTTGGATGTATTAAGAGAAGGCATGACTCACTAGAAAAGACAATATTCTTGGTGAAGTGGAGGGCAGTAGAAAAAGGGGAAGATGGATAGACTCAATCAAAGAAGCCACAGCCCTGAGTCTGCAAGACCTGCGCAGGTCTGTTGATGATAGAGTAACTTGGAGGTCTCCCATTCATGGAGTTGGACAATAATTAACATCAACATTGAGACTCACAAAGGATCCCAGGGTCAAAAAATTGAACTCTGAATCCACCACTAATTTAATTAGAGAACTACAGTTGAATAATTTAACAACCCTTGCGCTGTGCTACTCTGCTGCTGAGTATGCATGCCCAGTGTGGAACACATCTCACCACACTAAAACAGTGGATGTGGCTCTTAATGAGACATGCCGCATTATCACGGGGTGTCTGCGCCCTACACCACCGGAGAAATTACACTGCTTAGCCGGTATTGCACCACCTGACATCCGCCGGGAAGTAGCAGCCAATAGTGAAAGGACCAAGGCAGAGACATCTCCAGCTCATCCCCTGTTTGGGTATCAGCCAGCATGTCAATGACTTAAATCAAGAAATAGTTTTCTAAGATCTACAGAGACACCCGCTGGAACACCTCAGCAAGCGAGAGTCCAAAAGTGGCAGGCTCAAACCCAGCACCTCAATCCGTGGGTGATACCAAATGAGAGTCCCCCCTGGGCACACAGAAGACTGGGCGACTTGGAAGGCGCTGAACAGACTGCGCTCTGGCACCACGAGATGCAGAGCCAACCTTCAGAAATGGGGCTACAAAGTGGAATCCTCGACATGTGAGTGTGGAGAGGAGCAAACCACTGACCACCTGCTGCAATGCAACCTGAGCCCTGCCACATGCACAATGGAGGACCTTCTTGCAGCAACACCAGAAGCACTCCAAGTGGCCAGATACTGGTCAAAGGACATTTAATCAACTACCAAACTCACAAATTTTGTATTTTGTCTGTTTGTTTGCTTTGTTCTGTTAGAAATGTAATATAATTTGACTGGTTGTCCTGACACAACAAATAATAATTTTACAACACACCATAGTGCATCATAAGATACTGGATTGTTTTTCATGGAGTTATTTAATGATGGCGTCCTAATAGGAATGGAACAGGAGTGGTGGAGTGGGGTCAGTCTAGATACCCTTTGGTAACCCCTCCCACTCTGTGTGAACATTTGGTTCTAGAATCAATGTGACATTTAGTTCTAAAGCAAAAGAATTCCCAACAACTACACATCATTGAGAAGTCGTTCAATAATAGAAGAACACACAAAGAATTTCCTATGATTAGAAAATACTTGAAATCAGCAAGAAGATGGTGAGCTCTACTTGATTAGACATTTTTAAATAGAGTCTAAATGGCCATCTATCAAAGAAAGTATAGCAGTAGTTTTTCAGCAGGCAAAGAACTTTATCAAAAACAAAGTAAAGGTTGTCAGAACTGTCGGGTGTTTCAAGAATACAGGATTTATAAGCTAGGTATTTAAACATTTGGCATGGTTTAAGAGACACCCTACATTATATGTTTCATAGACTCTCCTCCATTGGTCAGTTAGTCTAAGCATTACATCAGCGCTCTATGTTCTTGGTTCACATGAGAACGGCCTTGGGTCTCAGGACATTCCTTTTCCCCAGCTAGAGGTCAACTCCCTACTCCTCCAGGTGCCTTGTTACGGCAATAAACTATACTCATCTCGTTAATTGCAGCTTGTCATTATTTAACTCTCCTCCATTCCCATTAGCTTTCGGGCTACAATCACATAACTATGTGAAATGTCTATTATGTACAATGACTAGTTTCAATATGGTACTACAGTATGGATATAACAATAAAGCATAGCAACATGAATCTCAAAACATAGCAAGTCCTAAGGTTCCTGACCCCTATGCTGTTTTCACTCTAGCCGTCCAGCCTGTTTCCAGTTCCATAGATCTTCTGTAAACCAAGGTGAATTATGGACTCTATAGCAGTGGATTGGGTGCTTAGAACTGATTGTTTCAATGGTGATAGTTATTGGCAACTGATGTTTATTTAATAGACATCTGCTTGCAAAACAGGCACATCCATTGTATTAGAAAGGTGATACTGTGGTTATTGAAATACAAATTATGTTCTTCAGTTGAACAAGACAATGTTGCTGAACTGGTCTACCTTGAGACATATCAGAGGATAACTTACTTTTCATAGTGCAACTAGATGTAGCCTCACTAAATTGTGGAGGAAGAATATTATGGGGTTCAAGTGCTGGTTCATGCTACAGTTTCATGCTCTGTTGCTGTTCTTGAGTCAACAAGGTATACAGGAGGAGACTGTGTTTTGTATCACAGGCTAATGCAGGGGTCCTCTAACAAACTTCATGTATTCAGCATACTGTTACTTATAAATCCAGTTACAAGTAGATTTGAAGTAGGTAACACAGAGCATCTTTCTTATAATCAACAGTCCATAATCTAAAGCAGGTGTGCCGTTACACCCAGACGCTTTATAAAAAACAAACTATGATGTGCTGTCCCTATGTCTGGGCAAACCGCTGGGGCTTTCTGGAGAAAATTGAGATAATCAGCAATTGAGTCTATTGCAAGTTCTGAATGTCAAAAAAGAATATTTATTTCAAAGTCTTGCAGACATGGTACAGTTCTTTCAAAGTTGCAATCAAACAGTCAGTAG